GGGGGTGGGAGGGGCAGGGGAGGCGGTGGAGAAGGTGGTGGGGGTGGGAGGGGCAGGGGAGGTATCGGGAGTAGGAGGGGAAGAGGTGGCGGGGGTGGAAGGCATGTCTCTGCTTAACAGTGATTGCATTTTGCTGGCTTTGCCGACCCTCTGCTTTCTCTCTAATACTCTCCCTTTCTTTCTGTCGGCGTCTCTTTCGCTTTTTCTCAACTACTCTCTCACCCGGTGTCTCTCTCACTGTGTCTGCTTACTTTCTCTCTTACTTCTCTCTCTCTTTGCGTTTCTCTCTCCTATTCTCCTCGCACGTACTGTTTCTCTCCCTTTCGTGTTCTCTCTGTCTCTTTCGGGTGCTCTCTCTAGGTGGCTCTGGTTTCTTTCTATGTCTTCTCTCTCCTACTCCCTTCTCTGTGTGTGTGTGTGTCTCTCTCATGTGCTCATGGGCTCGCTCCTCGTCTATCTTGTGTGTCTAACAGAGATTTGAGTACTTTCGCTGTAATAAATTAATTAATACATCATGATAATTATATACATTTTCACAATTATTCATCAAACATACAGATTGGGTGAGGTCATCATACAGGCGGGGTTTGAAATGTGATATATTATTGTAAATTATTATCACTTTTCATGTTATATGTGTCATTGTTCCTACGTCAATAATCACTCCTTCACATTTATATGAAACACATTTTGTGTTATTAAGCCACGTACCATGGATTTCAAGTTCGGCTTGGGTTTGCACGGCCGCGCAACACAACGTTGTCAACACAATTGCGATAAAGCGATAACTATGCATATATACTATCACGAACAATATCATACGCGCACATAGTATACACACATCTCATCAAGAGCTTATAATATCTTGATCTCATATCATCAGGGGTTAATAATGACAAATGTCAATAATGACAATTTGTCATTATTAACCCCTGATAGCATAGATCGCAACACATATCGCTGTAGGTATATGTTATAATGTACGTGTATTATCACTATTATGTATTCATCGTGTATGGTCACGGTACAGGCTGACCCGGCACGCCGTTCGCACGTGTAGCTGATATTATATCAGGAGTGTATCAATAATTTTGATACACTCCTGATTATATATATGATGTGTAGCTTGTATGCAACGCATGTACGAGGAAGCGTTAACTTCTTCTCGCGATCAGCGTAAAGCGACCCGGACCTACCTTGCTCCTCCGTCTGCGCTCGGCTGCGCTGGCTGTACGGTAGAGGAGGCACGTATATATAATACACACACACACAGAGCAACGTGTGCGTCCAATTCACGTAGTCAGGCAAGCAGGCAGGCAGGCAGGCGCGCAGGCAGTCAGTCAGTCAGGCAAGCAGGCAGGCAGGCAGGCGCGCAGGCAGTCAGTCAGTCAGGCACGCGCAAAGACAGAAGGGGCAGGCAGGCAGATAGACAGACAGAGAGGCAGACAGGCAAGCAGTCAGTCAGTGAGTCTTCTGGCAGGCAGACAGATAGGCAGGCAGGCAGTCAGACAGATAAGCAGGCAGGCAGACAGATAGGCAGGAGGCACATAAGAGGATACAAATGTACGTACTCTTACGTCCGCCGCTGCAGCAGAAACCGCATCGAGGTGTGCGAGAGTGAACACGGTTAGGAGCCGAATGCTCACGCGTCTGCCGAGACCCCGGCACAGGCTGCTAGCTACACACGCGCACGCACACGCACGCACGCGGTTGTGCTGCGCTGGCTGCAGCGTCCGCGCATGAACGCACACGCTCACGCGCGCGCGCGGTCGCACGCCTGGCCAGTCTGCCTGCTCGCTCCGTCGCACACGATCACAACGCCTGTCGCCAGTCGAACTCACTGCCACCACTGGAGCATGCAATTGCTGCGAGCGTGTGGGCGTGCGTGCGTGCGTGTGTGTGGGTGCGTGCGAGGAAGAGTACGAGTGTGTATATAATGGGCAGGAAAGTGTGCGCGGATGAAGATGTTAGCGTGTAGTTGTGTTACCGTATGTTATATTATAGTATTATATACTATATCATATATGTTCGTATGTATATGTATATGTTAGAGAAAGCTACAGAGCTGCTGGTACTGGCTGCTTCCTGGCTGTCTCCCGGAAGCTCTATACGTAAAAAAAGAGTAAAACTCAAAAGAGGGGGGTGGCGAGAGAGACACAGGTTGAATGATGAGGAAGGGGGAACAGAAGAAAGCGAGAGAGACAGAGAAAGGGGGAGGGAGAGATGGGGATGGATAGAGCGATAAAGTCACTGTCCTTGACCATTCCTCCTTAGTAACCCCTAACCTCCACAACCTCCCCCGACCTAATATTACCTGACTCCGATCGACTAGAAAGAATGTTCATACAGCAGCGTAATTATGTTCTCAGTATTCTACACCACAGTAGATCACGAAACTTGTTAACATGTTAGAACAACAGCTAAGAGATAATAGTTTACAATAAGATGGTTTACAAGCCATAACGTCTACAGCAACAATTTGCCGATGGTTTGTATTAATAATGTGTGCGACGCCTGCCTCCAGGGCTGCGCCACCTCTACTTGTGCGGTGTGAAGTGGATTCGCAGCGCTGGCGCCACCTATGCCTTCCTGACGGCGGAGAACTATACACAGTTCATTGACGCTCATCCCGCGCTCAGAGGCAAATACAGGAAGGTGCGATCATCATTTGCCAACTCCTGGCACTCCTGCCACTCCTGCCACTCCTGCACTCCACACTCTGCACTGCACTCCTGCCACTCCTGCACTCCTGCCACTCATTTGCCACTCCTGGGAGGCGGGCAC